TTTATGTGATGAAGACAGTGTCAGGGACGAACTAACTAACCTTCCTTATTCCACCAAGCTTTATTGTTATTATTCTTATATTCATAATCCTCACACCTTTTTGTTTATTTCCTCATAAGTGTGGACATCATTTAGTTTCTGTAATAATTGTTATTGTTTTCCCTTCACCAATAATATTAGAGTCAACGCTCTATAACATGCTGAAAATTTCTCTGACAGTGGGACAGTGCGAACTAGCCAGTTCATTTAATTCACGTCTGCGTCTGAAAGTAAAATTAATGACCTGACATTTGGAGTGATTTAGCTTAAGACCATTTGACAAGGATCACTGACTAATTAGGTGTCAGTGGCGGCATAGCGGTTAGGACGCTCACCGACCACGTACATGGTTCGGGGTTCAATTTCCGGTCGACGAGGCACTCCTTTACCTCGCTAAGCCAGAAATAATACTGGTAAAGAGGAAAGGTTGGGCATGAGGCTAGCAGCCCCATCCTTTAAAATAAACACTGCTACAGAAACTCCAAGCCACTATAGCTTGAAGCCCTATGTTCCACTGGGAACGTAAAGGAAAAATTATTATTTATTAAAATTACTGACTAATTTCTGATAAAAAGTTATTCATTTTGGAAGAGTCTGACTAAGAATTAAGGGACACAGAGACAGTCAAATCATCAACATACTTAACTAAATTGGCTTCGTCACAATGGAGCAAGTCATGTAAGAGCAAGGAAAACAGAAAAGGAGAAAGAACAGTTCCCTGGGGAAGTGAAGCAGTAGATGACCTACCTCCCATTATAAAAAGTGTACTGCTTCCTATCAGAAAAACAGGAATGCAACCACTTATTAGTCCAGCCCAACGCTTGTGTCGCACCAAGCTTATCAACCAAAGAGGCCTAGGTACACAGAATCGAAGACAGATGTGTAATCCAGAAAGGCCCACCGACCATATTTATCACCTCTATCTAAACTAGAGACAATATTATGACATATAAGACGACAGTGGCATCTAAAGTACACCTACTATGTTTATAAGCAAACTGATTAAAGTCGTTACGTGCTTTCAATGAATGCTCAAGGTTAAGTAAAAGCAGTCTTTCCATTATTATTTTTTTTAAAAGGTGAAGTAATGGCAATAGGTCTAGACTTAACACTTGCTCCACTTGATGATCAAGGCACTGGGACAATTTTAAAATCCTTCCAAGAGGCAAGTACAATGTTAGTGGAAAACGATTCATTAAAAATACCAGTGAGCGAACAACATAAAATGTGAGCATATTTATTGAGGATAATATCTGGTACACCATCTAGATCAGGGGACCGGATAGGTTTCATGAATAATAGACACTTTAGGACATCTTTATTTTAATTTAATTGAATTTTTGATTTTCCCGTCGATCGATTGGACTGAAGTGTTCGGTCTCAGCTTGACATGTCGGCTTCTTGCGCAGATGCTTCGACGATGTCTGGGCATTTAATTAGTATTTGACTGGTGCATGGCGACAAGCAGTGAAATCCAGGATAACGCGCATTTCGTCCTATTTGGGACTCGTCTCCCAGCTGGATGTACCTGCATTCCACAATGAGTGATGATTCTCCCAGCGAGGCTCGAATTACAAGCCCAGACATCGTCAAAGCATTTGCGCGAGAAGCCGACAATATTAACCTGAGACCAAGCACTTCAGTCCAATCAATCGATGGGAAAATCAAAAATTAAACTAATATGATCCGTTGCACATGAGGCAGTGGCTTTCGTGGCCCAAGTGGTCAAGTGGATAGCGCTTTGGCGTTTGAAACTATGGGCACTGGGTTTCAGCCTCGTGGGAACATCATCACTCACTGGGAAATGCAGGTACATCCAGCTGGGAGACGAGTCTGCAATAGGAGGAAATGCGCATCCTGGATTCCACTGTTAGTCACCATCCACCAATACTAAATACTTTAGGATATCGTTTGTGTCAAAAGCGGAGAAGCAATCATTATTTGCACTTGTAGCATTGAAGATCATAACATCAGCTGGACGACATACGGAAGACTTACTAAGGGTACACCAGCATCAACTGAAGAGTGGTTATCATTTATTTGCTTATCCCCGGTGATTCCCTTAAACAGCTTCCACATATTTGTTGTTGTTAGGTGGTTTCACAAGATAAGTAATGTTGACGTTAGGCGTAGAGTGTTGGGCAAAGATGGAAAATCAATCGACGAAGCTATAAAGTTACATAGACTAAGATGGCTAGGTCACGTGCTGCGCATGCCTAACCACCGCCTCCCCCGACGGGCATTGTTAGCTGATATAGGTTCAGGTTGGAAAAGAGCCAGTGGTGGCCAAACAAAAACATGGCCTCATCAATCCATGAAATCCTTGACAGTTAAACTGAGTCAGGTAGGGAGATGCAGACTCCCGGGTTGGGGCCCTCGGGACTCTAGGAATCAATGGCTGGAGACTATAGGTGACATGGCTCAAAATCGTTGTCAATGGCGCAGATGTATTCAATCTCTGTAATCTTTCATATTCCTTTCTACCATTACCCATTCTGTTTCACTCCTATATTTGTCAAACTCTATTAATTCTCTCCACTCATCTTCTTGTCTACCTCTGTGTGCTATTTGGAACGTGGCAACTCGAACTGCTGCACTTCGGTGCCAAGTTCTATGTTGAATCCAGACAGACAGACCACATATTTGTTGAGATTTTGCATGATAAGAACTTTTTGTTATAGGTCATATTTAATCTCTGTCTTTCTGATTTAACTAAAGTGCTCAGTCTCTTAACACCAGGATAGTCTTCTTTCAGTTCAGCTTTTTAAGCTGAGAAGACGAAAAGCCGTCGAATTTTAAGAAGAGTGTCTCTTTTCAACAACAAACAACAAGACAGAATTTCAGCAGTAAAGAAGAATGCCTACAATGCAAGGATAAACACAAACTGAAAAAGTAGAAACTGAGTGATGATATCAGATTGTCTTCCCAGAAATTAACATGATGTGTAAAGGCCAGAAACAATCAGAGGAAATACATAATTCAAGGAAGGTATTTAAGATTCAACTTAGTTCCAACTCCAAGGCCTTTTATGATACCACAATCATGGCAGTCAACCAGTTCATGATTGTATCTGAAAGTGAAATTATTAACCTGATATTTGAAAAGATTTAACCTAAGACTATTTAAGGTCAAGGATCACTGATCAGTTTCTGAAACAATCGGATTGAGAAGTAACAGGTATGGATAGTATTATCGGCTCACACACACACGCCTAATAAGTGTGATTTACAATCTGGTACATGAAAAAAATAATATATTCTCGACAAGTGAATACCAAACATAAAGTGTTAATGTTTAGGAAGTAGGTATGATGATACCTTCAGCTGTTTCTATAGAAACAATATTTAAAAGTGTAATATGAAGCCAATTCCCTTGCATATAGGGGAAAGCACATGCTAAATTCAATATTTTACAAACATGATATTTGTTTTCGCCAGTAATAATGCTCAAATATCCTGAGCTGGAAGCTTCGCAAATTAACTATCCAGCCAGCTCAGAGAACACAACCACATCAAAATCATCCACCTGAGCTACAAATCTTCTCTATCATAGCTCAAATATTCTTCAAGCTATATTGTTTCACATATTATTGATTTCTCTCTAATGTCACGCTAACTGGAAAAAGGACAAGCTGACAGAAAAAGTAGAGAAGATAGAGGCAATGAAGACATCCAACCACCACCAACAACAACAACAACAAGGAGCGCCAATCTCTGTCAAGAAGAGAAAATTTTTAAGTATGGCGTCTCTTTCCCTTACCTGACTAGGCAACATCTTTTCAATTACAGGCAATGCAAATGAAGATATGAAAGCCAGGATCAAAGAAGGAAAACAGACCTTCATCAATTTGGAATCAATGTGAAAATCAGCTGCAAGATTCGGACATTTAACAACAAAATCGAGTCATTGCTTTTACACGGTGAAGAGACTTGACGCTTCTCTAAAAGCATTCCCAACATGCCACTACAGAATTTCATCATTAACCACCTTTGCTGGCTGCTTCCATACTGAAGATCAGATGGCCCGCGGGCGAGAAAGGATAATAGAGGACTAAAACAGACAATGAAATTAACCGAGAACCTACGGCCCAATAAATATGCCGTAGGAAATAGTTATGCGTAGATTGAATACACTTTGAGGAGACCGTTGATTGATACCATGCGCCAGGCCATAGGAAACAGTTAGTTGGGCATATAGAGGTGGCATGGAGGAGATCATCATGTGAGGAGATGAGTAATCTTGAGGCCAGCTAAATGGGACTGCAAAGAACAGAATGATCGTTGGTGGGACATCCGTCCTCACACTTGACATCTGGATGAACCTCACTTCATGACTTCTCACTAGAACTGACTCCAGGAAACGCCATCCTGTAGCAAGTCACTAGCGAGCATCAGATCAATTTTCTACAATTGGTTTGTAGGGATTAGTTTCGTTTTTTCCGAGTTGATCACGGATTGATATCACTTAGAGAACTATTGAAAACCAACTGGGAGTACTGGACAGCTGTTTCATCCCACTAGTTTGGGAATCATCGGCAGTACGCACCAACTGGGGTTCGAACCCAGAACTTTGTGGTCAATCTGATGATCGCTAGTGACTTGCTACAGGATGGAGTTTCCTGGAGTCAGTTCTAGTGAGAAGTCGTGACCAGTGAGCTCCATCCAAATATCACGTGTGAGGATGGATGTCCCACCTACGACATTGGTTGGGGTAGCACTAAATCATGAATTGGTAGAAGTTAGAATTCACGGGCTGGTCATTAAATCGGATCCCAGTGGCTGAATGGTATACAACCCAGCTTGCTGGCTTTGTAACCGGAAGGTCCTGGGTTCGAACCCTTGCAGTGGATGTGTACTGCCAATGATTCCCAAAACTAGGATTAAAGCACAATAGAAATGAATAACAAAAGAGAATATAGAAATAATACTTCAAAATTAAAAAATAAAAACTCTTTAACTTACTTTTAATAGAATTAAAATCTGATGAAGTAAATGAATCTGTATTGGAACTGCTTTTCACCCAATTATCAATATCAGTAAAATGTTCATGGACTGATGATGATGAAGCATGCTCAGTTTCTGGTAAACTTAGAACATCTGATTCACAATTCTACAGTGAAACAAAATTAAAATATCAATTAATAATGTCTGTCTGTACCTGAAGGAGGATTATTTTATTTAAACACAAAAACTTGGTACAATATGGCACCAAGAAGATACGTCACACAATATTAATAAACAAACATAAATTAGAAGTAAAATTAGAAGTAGAAAACGGATAAAGAACTTCATCTGGAAGGAAAACAGTCACATTTAACAAGTTCAAACAGCATTCGTTAATTATCGTCAGGAAAGGAAGAAAGAGGAAATTGCAGCACGTTCGCCACTGATGTTTTCGATTCTTGACCATATCCGATAACGTTCGAGCCACCGACTCGAGCTATCTCGCGGACCCCAACCAGGGAGTCGTGACGCACCAACCGATGCTAACCTAACATAAATGCCCTTCACCCCACGATGCCACGTCATGGGTACACCAGCTCCCCACTTTTTTTATGCCCTCCCGGGGTTAGCTAACAGAGACCTGTACGTAAACCTTTGGGATGACATTCGTAGCACATTTCCAAGCCACCGAAGCCGGTGTTTCCAGGTGACAACATTCAACAAATGGTGATCCCCGCTGTGTCCAATCACACGCTGCCGGACCTCGGAATTACTCACGCAATGATGCCATTGAACGCAAGCAATCCTGCGTAGACAGAGATGATCGAATATGCAAAGTCGCCACACATCCTCAGTTCAGAGAAGTCAGGTTCCACAGCAATTAGCTGACATAGGATTAGATTAGGAAACAGTTAAGTGTCTGTCTATTTTCGACATAGAACTTTGCAACGATGTGTAGCAGTTCAAGTCGCCACACTTCCCTCCATGTAGCATACAAAGAAAGAGAAGAAAGTAGAAGAAATGCATAATAGAGAGAGTAAACTGAGGTGTGAGACAAAGGAATAGTAATAACGAAGAACAATATAGTTTCATTGGAAATCATAAGTCACAAGGAGTGGATGCATCTGCGCTAGCCATTGAGAACGATTTTGAGCCATATCCACAATTGTTTCCAACCATTGGTTTTTACCGTCTCGAGGACCCCAACACAGGAAGTCTATACCTTCCTACGTGGCTTGGACTATCTGCTGTAGGTTTCATTGACTGGTGCCGTGTTTTGGTTTGGTGTAGTCAAATCTAAACATAGTATCAATCCATGGAGTCTTAAATAGTTGGTTTGAGCCAGTCACATGGGGAAGTATAGACTACCTGGTTAGATACGTTGGGATGCGAAGAACCAATAAATGAAGGCTATTGGTGATATGGGTAAAATCGTTTCCACATACATTTACTCGTTGTAATGTCCTAGATCTATTAAAGCCTCCAGTTTTTTCATATTACTATTTTTTTCTTTCTCCCACCTATTTCTGAAGATTATAATTCTTCGGAATTTATTTTTCTCTTTGTTTTCTCCAATTTTATGTGGTACATATAGTGTGACTAGTTGAAATGCTGCTTGTAAAATATGTACAAGTGATTGTACGACCAATGAATAATTGAAAATATGGTATTGTATAAGGCAGGTTGAATCAGGGAATTAAATACCTCCAACTGTGCTACATTGTGCAAGTAGTCTACGAGAAATTCTCACATTACACCATTAAGCATATTCACCCGGTGTGATAAATATAAATAAAAACTTGCACTTCGTATGTACAAACTGAGACCCACAATTTTTTGTCAAAAATGCGACAAGTCATGTGTTTATGACATGCATGGAGCCCATAAAAGCCACCTAGTGCAACAAAGGGAAAGTAGACTTCGGCCTTCCTCTTGAATTAATTTTATGTGGCTACGAGTTCACAGCATCTACCAAGTAAGTTCTGTTCGCTGCCTTCACGTGGTGGGAGTGTTCCTCACAGAGAATGAAAAGGAGAATGTATGGCGCTTATAACTGGACAGTTGTACATACTAGTCTACCTAGGTTGGAAAACTGGAAGGCAGTGACTCCAAATCTACGTGAAAGGATTTCAGAAACTGACAGGATCGAATAGCGTTCAAAACTGTTTTTGGTCACCGGAAACCATGCGAACGCAGCTCCTGACACTGCCCAGGTTTCAAGTGGAAGTCTTAGAGAGCAGTCCCTTAAAATAACCACCTGCTTAAATCTAGGCACCATGCCAGTATTTCATACCTCTCAGAAAATAATATATTTTGTGTAGCGCATGATTTGGAGCCAGTAATGTAAAGTTTGCAATTTTTCAGTAATGATAATCAGACCTAACATGCACTAATGAGCACCGTTCTACAACTAATTGTTACTGCAAAAGAAACTAACCAGACAAACAAGAAAGAGTTCCATGTGATCGTTTTGTGTTTAAAATATTACCAATGTAAAAAAATAGGAAAGACTATTCAAAATAAACCTTATACTTAGAGTCTAAATGCACCATACAGTACACATCTTTTAAAAGACCCCATATATGGGAAGTTGTACATTTAAAAATTGAATATAAGCCAGGATATACTGAGGTAATCACACAGGCAAACAATCTGGCAAAATTTTACGAGGGATGAAAACAACAACGCTTTTCGCTGTGATTCAGAAACAGCCACCAGAAGATAAACTCTGACGCTTCGATATGTTTCCTTATTTGTAGGAATTACTTCCGCTTCGACAACTCTTTAAAATGTCACGGAAAGTTCTCATCATCTAATTCATCTAATGGTCAAAATTTCGAGTGTTTTTTTTTATAACAAACACACTTAATTGAAATCCTCAACAAATGGCTAAGTGAGGTAATAATATATACTCACACAGTCTGTGCGGTACAGAACCTTCAAAACTGAAGAATATGGGTTAAGTAACAGACCCAATAACCGCCTATTGAGAAACGCTGACTGCTTTCTTCGTAAAGGAAGTTCACATGACTTGACCGGAAATTTATGCAAAATTCACAGTTTACGTTATTAAAAAGAATATTGAGCTCCACTGTTATTCTAAAAAATAGCTCTAAATCTAAACTGAAATCAGACTACATTTCACATACAGAAAATCCAGGCTAAACAGAAAAAATCCCGTTTATTCCTTTATCATTTGGAACGAACCTCTCTACCTACAGTCTAACTAATGCCTGACTGACTGGTTTCAACACAGAACTTTGCACAGATGTGCAGCAGTTCAAGTCGTCGCACTCCATGTAGCATACAAAGTAAGAGAAGAAAGTAAAAAGAAATCCAAAGTTGAGATACTAAATAGAGATATGAGGCAAAACGAATAGTAATATAGAAGAACCATATAGTTTTATTGGGTATTATAAGTCACAAGGAGTGGATGCACCTGCGCTGTCATTGAAAACGATGTTGAGCCAGTACGAGCTAATAACTATTAGCTATTATTAGACTGACTAATAACCTTCTACGTGTAAAAACCTCTCGGATCTTATATATAAAGGAAGAAATTGTCTTAAAAGTAGGAAAATATTTACCTCTGAATGGGACACATTATCAACCGTCCTGTGTGTTGAGATGAATGAATGTTCTTCTACTTCTGAACATTTCAGAGAATGGAGAGCCTTGGCTTTACACTTCATACAGATGTAACAGTTTTTGCACAACCTGGGCATATAGATTCACACAACTTAACTTACAAACACTGCAGAAATTCATCTGATAACACATCACCACAACTAGCACAAATGTTGGGATTGCATTTTACATCTGACTTTTCAAGAACTGCAACATCACGTTCTTTTTCAGAACCTGAATTGCTAAGTATGTCCCAGGAATCTCCAGAACCACTTGACAAACATTCGAAGGAATCATCCCCCATTTTTTAGTTTGCTAACTGACTTGTTGCCTAAGGTAATCAGTCAGCTGATTGAAAAAATTTCAAACAACCCTCTCTTTCACTTCATCATACTGCGCAACAAAGAATTAGGTAACAGATTCAGATCAGAATTTTTCTTGTGAAAAAATACTTCAATTTGCATCAATTTTATTCTAATCTGAATTCATCCGTTTCTAACCCCTCCTTAGAAGGTTGTAGCGGTAAATAATTCCCCAAAATTACTGACCATAAGAATCACCAGTGAACATTGGATGCTGACCCTTAGAGTTTAAGTCGACTTGTTTAGCTGAAGGCTTTCGGTCCTCACCATGGGTATCCTCACCATTTGGTACTCCGTCGTGTCACTTTCGTGCACGATCACTAGCCAGCTTAGCTTCCGCTTCAGTCCTAGATTTGGTCCCGAAATATATCACTGATTTGGAAATCAACTCTTGTCTTTTGCTTTGCCTTTGGTACACGAGAAATGAATACTATAGAAGTTGTTGGTGTAAGATCTTTCGTCAGCATACGCCGTACAATTCGCGAACGTCAATACCGTCAGCCTCTAAACCGGTAATCCCAACCGCGAACTTCATCTCCGATAAATACGCAGATAAACCAGGTGAGTTCGTTCGTTTCGTATTTGTTCTTGTACTACATTGTAATTGACATACTTTTCGTCGTGAGTGATGCTAGTCCCAAGGTCATTCGTATTCGCTCAACTCCTGGAACCATTCAGTTAGTGCCATACTCGCCAGATAATGCTGAAACGTGGTTTCAGATAGCTGAATCAGATTTTTGTGAGCATGGGATAACCGATCAACGTTCACACTTCCTCACAGTTATTCAAGCCTACCTCAGGAATTCAGCAGCTGCGTAACTGTGCAGATGTTGAGTCCTGATATAAGTAACTCGTACAAGCTGCTCTGAGCATCCCTACTCAGGAGAAACGCTCTCACCGATTGACAGCGTCTGGACGAACTATTTCGTAACATCGAGTTGGGGTATCAGTCAGCCGTGAGCATGCTGACAAGAATGAGAGAGGTTACTGGCTAAAGTCACTTCGATGAAGGACTTTTCAGAGAACTCTTCTCATCCAAGCTACCACAGTCCGTGTAGACTGTACTTGTGACACTTCGTTGTGTTATTACGGATGACTTAGCTATTTCTACAGATAAAATTTCGGAAATAAATAAACGGTCAGTTTTTGAAATATGCTCGGTAGCCAAGCAGACCTCTAGTAAGGTTACAGCAGTGGTAGAGTTACGCAACTCCATCCAGCAGATGCTTAGGTCAAACATGACTTGCGATTCCTCCTACCATCGTCAGAAATCCCCTCAACGCCGAAACTCACGTGGTCGATCTAAGTCCAAGCCACGCTTACTGAAAACCCCTGACTGGTGCCGGCACCACAACACCTACAGCCAAGCAGCGAAATGTTGCCGTAAGCCTTGTAACTTTAGAAATGTCTCAAAGTCTGTGGGAAACTATCCACCGGCACGCGTTAGCGTCAGCCGTCGCTGGTGGCACTAGTCGCCTGCTTTACATCCAAGATGTGATCAGCCAGCCTCGATATTTAGTCGACACAGGTGCCGAAGTCAGCGTACTTCCTGCTACAGCAGCAAATCGACAGAAGGAACCTACCCTCGACTTACAGGCTGCAAATGGAAAACCAATTGCAACCTTTGGCAGGAAATACATCTGTCTGAACGTAGGCCTGCGCAAACCTATTCAGTGGATTTTTCTTTTCGCTGATGCCACAATGCCCATCATTGGCACGGACCTACTTAATCATCATGATTTACTCGCAGATGTCCGTCGAAAACGACTAAGTGACAATACTAGTCTGTCTATCAAAGGCATCACCCGCATAGGCCCTAGCTTTTCCCTCGTTAAGATAAAGGCAATCATTGATCCGACTTTTCAACCGATCGTTGATAAATATCCGGGACTTAATGCATTTTTTATTTTGATTTACAGCTTGATTCCACACTATTTTTCCTACAAGCATGGAATTTTCAGCATGGATATCGATAACCCAAATTTTGCAGGCCAACCATAGATATCAGGTGTGCGTCGTTGGGGCTGGAACATCAGACAATATGCATGGTCGGTGTCAATGTAGTTGAAGATTGAACAATCAATTCATGGTTGTTTGCTCAAAACCAAATTTCCCAATTTTCGAGGAACCATCAATCCGCCAGCGATCGTCTCATCGGTCGCTGTTCAGAAAGAAGTCAGGAGACAACCGTCAGAAGTAATATTGTGAATTATTATTGTAATATTTGTTCATAGACCTTAGTTGTAAAGCTAAGTTGTACAATGGCTATATGTTGGTGTAAGGACAAATAATTCGCGAGTCGCCAAACTGGGTTCTGGTTTTGCGTCCATTAGTACTAGGCGTTTCTGAGAAACTTGAATTGACTGCGTGAGGCCCGGCGTAGCGAGAGCTGGGCGGTAACGTTTTACGTGACGTGGCTGACAATGTTGATGGCATGGGTAAACTTCAGTCACCTCTATTTCCATGAAAGCTCGTTTTACACGATCGATGCTTACATTCTCGTGTTCTTCTCCTTGTTCGACATTCATGATTTTGTTTTTTATTATTTTAAGAGGGTTCGTCATAGGGTGTTTTAAGTGGTTCTCTTACACCATCGTGTCGCATGAAGACATGAGTGCAGTCGTCTGGTTTTTGAGGCATATATACTAGGTTGAGCTGATGTCGCGGTGGTATGATATCTTAAAAGGCTCATATGTTGTTTCGATTGTTGTGCAAAAGTAGCTTCGTCAGTTGGAACTTCAGCGGCTGGGTTTAAATATTCTCCAGCAGTCGTAAAGTAGTTCCATAAACTAATTCTGCTGGACAACATTCGATATCTTGTTTTATTGTTGAGCGTATTCCAAGAAGTACAAGCGGTCATTTGTCACTCCACTTATCATCATCCTTCACTGCCATCAGTGGTGCTTTCATTTGACGATGAAATCTCTCCACTAAGCCGCTTGAACTGGGATGATAAGCAGTAGTATGTATACGCTTGGTTTCCCAGTAGTTCTGTGAGTTGTTGGAATAAGTGGCTTTCGAACTGAGCATCTCCGTCAGTAGTAATAATGCTGGGCACTTCGAAGTTGGAAATCCAATTTTGTATGATACTCTTTGCAACAGTTTCAGCCGAAATATCGGGTAAGGACTAGCTACTGGCCATCTCGTACATCTGTCAGTACACGTCAAGATATAAGTAAAGTTTCTGGGCTTAGAGCATGTTTCAGCTTTTCAAATGCTTCAATTGCTGAAGTATCCATGTGCAGCAATTTCGCGTGACCTTTCAGTAAATCTGTCAGTGTTTGGGCCAGCTGTGCACCGTGAGGAATGAAACGGAGATCAAAACTGATGAGACCAAGGAATCGGCTTAACGTTTTGAAAGAATCTGGGATATGGTACTCTTTTATGACTTGAAGTTGTTCTGCTCTCGGTCGAATGCCCTGATTGTGTACCTGATGTCCCAAAAATTGTAGTTTCCTTACCGAATTCACATTTACTTGGATTAGTGACATTTCCATATTCGGCCAAGCGTTTAAAATGTTTCTAAGTGATGTTGGAGCTCTTCGATTGGTTTACTTGCAACCAGTATATCATCGATATAGGCATAAGCGAATGTGAGGCCGTGCAGGACCTGGTAGATGAATCGCTGAAATGTTTGTGCTGCGATATTTAAACCAATGGCAGACGAACGAACTCAAATGAGCCAAAAGGAGCGGTCACCGCAATTTTGGGGATGTCCTTAGGTTCGACCGATATATGGTAGTATGCACGAACGAGGTCAATTTTAGAAAATATTTGAGCACCTGCCGTGTTATAAAAAAATTGTGAATATGCGGAACTGGGTATCTATCGGCTATCGTCTGTTTATTTAAAGCTCGATAATCTCCACATGGTCGTATCTCTGTTGAGTTTTTCTTTGGAACCATATGAAGTGGTGATGAGCATTGGCTGTTTGATGGTCGTATTATTCCTAGATCCAATAACCTGCTGAACTCCGCCTTTGCTATTTGCAGTTTTGCTGGACCTAAATGACGTGGTTTTGCTGCGACAGGTGGACCTTTAGTTACAGTATGGTGCGTTTGTTGTGTTTGAGAGAGGCTGTTGAGTAATCGCTCTGTGTGAGTTCAGGAAATTTCTTTAGCAGTATCTCGTAAGGGGATAATTGATTTGATGTAGCTACCATCAAGCGGATACTCTTGACATCTGTGCAGATGCCTGAAATCGATAGTTTTTGATTGCTATTTATCAATCTATGGTGACTAGAGTCGACTAGCATTTCGTAGTGCTGAAGAAAATCCATCCCAATAATAGGAAAGGTAATATCGGCAATGACTAACTCCCACTCAAATGGTGTGCTGCAACCAAAATGAAGTTTTTGTCTTCGAGTTCCAAAAGTTTTTATAGTAGAATTGTTCGCAGCCTTAATTACTAATGCGGGATTCGGCTGTAAACGTTCGCTGGGTGTTGGGGGAACTACACTAGCTTCTGCACCGGTATCTACTAGGAATTGTGCCGCCGTTATTTTATCTGTCACCCTGAAGAGACGACTGTGGGACGGTTTCCGGCCATTAACCGCAGTCTTTGCCAACCGCTGGCCTTTCCGTTTTCCCGACGTCACTGGCTGCTGGAAAGCACACGGCTGTGTGCATTGATGATACCAGCATACAGTCTGTTTGAGCTGTATTCACGTACATTGCGTGAGCGACTACGTTGTCTTCTTCATGATGTACTAGATTGTCTATTAACCCTCATTGTCATTAATTGCTCTGTCAGAACATCTATTTTACGTTCCAACGCTCATATGCGTTCGTCTAACGATTTGTCGACTACAGATGTTACTTGTGGAGACATCCGTTCATACATTCTGTCAGCAATTCCTGCTAACTTGTCAATATCTATGTCTTCATCTCCAAATGCTAATACTTGCTGAATGTTATGGGGTAACTACCTGAGCCACAAGTGG